CTTCTTGCATTTTTCCGGCTTTGTGGCTCAAGATGGGTCAACATGGCGCAACATAAGCCGAAAAAAGCGCCCAAGTTGGGCCAACATGGCCCAAGATGGGCCAACATAGGGTCAAGATGGGCCAACATAGCCCCCAAGCTGGGTCAAGATAACCCCACGATGGGTCAACATAGCCCCAAGATGGGCCAACATAGCCCCCAAGATGGGCCAACCTAGCCCCAAGAGTGGCCAACACAGCCCCGACTGTGGGCCAACATGGCACCCAAAATGGGCCAACCTAGCATGTTTCCCCTCCATGGCGTGGGGTTTGCGTGGACCTTGGGGATTTGGTTTCCAGATGGCCCAGTTTTTTTTTGCGTTTTCTTTTTGTTTGGGCCAACACAGAGGCAAGATCGGACGACATATGTCTAAGCTGGGCCAACAGAAGGTCAAGGTGGGGCAGCAGAGGGCCCCGATAGGCCAAACATAGCCTCGAGATGGCCCCACAGAGCCCAAAGATAGCCCAAGAGTGGCCAACACAGCCCCGACTGTGGGCCAACATGGCACCCAAAATGAGCCAACCTAGCCGAGACAGCCCCCAACCCTCCGGGGCTGAGCCATGTTTTCCCTCCATGCGTGGATTTTGGGGATTTGGTTTCCAGATGTTCGCCAGATACGCCAACATAGCCCGAAGACCCCGCTGGCACAACATAGGCCCCAGATGGGGCAATGTAGGCTCCAGCTGGGCCAACATAACCCCCACGCTGGGACAACAGCGGCCCCAGCGCGGCCAACAACAACAACAACCACCACCACAAGTGCAACAACCACCACCACCACCACCACCACCACCTCCTCCTCCTCCTCCACAACCACACTCACAGCCACAAGAAAAACAACAACAACAACAACAACAACAACAACAACAACAACAACAACAACAACAACAACAACAACAACAAACAACAACAACAACAACTGGCTGGGATCGAGGCCTGCACTGTCGGGTGTCCACTGTTGCACAATATTCTGCACGGTTGGCTCGGAGCGTTTCGAATATTGGAAACCTTCTTTGAACAGAACGTTCTATCGAACTCAGTCATGTGCTGGTACATGGGCGTTGACTCTTTCCGAGCGAGCAAGCTCACCGTACAAACTACGAAACGCATGTAGACACTGACTTCCTCACGCATGACCCGGCGGAGGCAAGCAAGCTCACCTTTGTAGGGACTTCTGTCTCTTTTTCGAACTCCGGCATGCGCTGGTCCATGGGTGTTCACTCTTGACTGACAGCTTGAGGGTCTGGCCTGACAGTGTGAGTTTGGATAGAGCGTTTAACAGAACGCTACAGGTCGATCAGAATCCACTGTTCCATCCAGTCCCTTGGCCAGGACTTACATCGTTGCAGCTTAGAGTCTTACAATGAAAAAGAACCTGCTTCACGATGAGACTCTCCGACAGCGTACTCTCCGACATCAAAATATGAATGGGTGCTCTGAAGTGCTTTCTGCCCACTGATCCGCCTGCTGCAACGACAGACTGCTCTGAAGTGCTTTCTGCCCACTGATCCGCCTGCTGCAACGACAGACTGCCACGCAGTGTTCAGCTCGTTCCCATGGACGCTGGAACATGTGTGCGGTTTGTCTTCTTCAAAATCCCCAGTGGTTGGGACAGGGCTCTCTGACTGGTTCGAAACACACGGCAAAGTCTAGACATGCCTGATCGAAAACTTCCTGACAGGCGCAGTCAACCGCTCCAGAATCGAGGGTTCGCTTGTGTTTACATGGGCTGATATGAAGGCATGGCACTGACAGGTCGGGTGCTCCGGCAGGCAGGCTTGCACGATATCGGCTCTAGCTAGGCCTCTGTATCCTTTTAGCGTGGGTACGCCCATGAGCTAAGCTCCGGACCCCGTGATGGAGCCTGGGTGAAGCCCTGGCGGACCCGAGCCTGGCGCATAATCGGGGGTTAGCTTATGTTTGAATGGGCTTATATGAAGGTTTGGCACTTACAGGTCAGGCACTTTGGCCGGCAAGCTGGCACTATCGGTTCTAGTGGAGAGGGGGTAGGCATCCGTATTATGTTGGCATGGGTGCGCCCATGAGCTAAGCTCCGGACCCCGTGCAGGAGCCTGGGCTAAGCCCTGGCGGACCCGAGCCTGGCACATAATCGGGTTGTTGGCTTACGTTTACATGGGCTTATACGAAGGTCTGGCGCGTAATCGAGGTCTGGCACTTGGCTGGCAAGGAAGCAACTTGGGTTGGTTGTCATTGTCCATTGTGTGACTATTTCTTTCTCCGCTTGGGCAGACCACCGTCCGTGCTCGCAATCGATTTGTTCGCCAGCGGGGTGGCCGGCGGTGGCAAAGGTGGCATGTCTGGCACCCGCAGGAAGTCGTCGCTAGGTGGCAAAGTGTTGGCTTTGGTTTTCCTTCGTTTGGGTATGGCTGCAAAGGCGTTGTCGGACAGCGATTGATTTGGTCTGTCCGGTGGCGGGCTGGCTGGTGGTGGTAAAGGTGGCAAGTCTGGCTCCTGTGTGGCCGCGTCGGCGCGGGACACAGGCCCTGTCGTTCTGGACCGTTTTTTGGGTGGGACCACAGCGCTGCAAGCTTGGCAGGTCCACGTGGGCAATTGCTTGGCGTGATACTTGCCGCCGGTCAAACACGGGCGCGGCGCGCCGCAGCCGCCGGAGCATGGCGGATAGGCGCAAGCTTGGCACCACGAACCGAGGTTTGCTGTTGCAGGCGTGGGCGCCTTGCACTTGGGGCAACAGTTGTTAGGCTTGCACTGCGGACACACTGCGTCTGGCCCGGCCGACGGACCCACTGGTTTCTTTGCACACTCGGTACACACGTGAGCGGCACACGTTTCGCAACGCCAAAAGGGGCGATGCTTGGCATGGTTGGAGCCTTTTTTGCACCGCTCCACTTTTTCGCAACCTGCACACGGTGGATAAGCACATTTCCGACACCACGTCCCCGGCGTGGCCGCTGCGTGCAAAGGCAGGCTGCACTGTGGACACACTTTGGCTGCGGCTCGCTTGAGTTCTGCGGCTTTCTGTGCGCACCTGCGGCAAATGCCGGTTTTTGAAGCGGAGTCATACTTGTGGAAATGCGACACACTGATCGATTTTTGACACAGGTCACAGTGCCCCACATTTCCTTTCGCCACATTGGGTCGGACAAGTGCGCATTTTACGCAGCGCGCTCTCCGAAGCTCTTTGGTGCGCTTTCTTCGTTGGATCTCTTCGGGGCTGAAGGCAGCTAGAGTTTTGCGCTTCAACTTCATTCCGACGTCGCATTTGGCACAAGCTAAGCGCTCTGTGGCCAAACACTTTTGACAAAAACCGAGTTTGGGAAGTTTGGTGACGGTGCAAAAGGCACACGGAACACTCGGTTCCTCGGCTCCAACCGGCTGATCCCCTGGCGCGGTCTGGGGCTGCGGCTTTCGACTCTCACGGCATTGGCTGCACATACGTTCCATGCCGAGTTGCACTATGGCGTACCAACCCTCTGGATCCCAAGTGTTGTTGTCGGCGAACTCCCGGATCGGCAGCAACCCTTGGTTGCCTTTGGCTTTGGGACTGCAACCGCGACAAAACAAGAGGGTTTCGGTGTTGCGTTTGCGTTGCACCTGATCCTTTTCAAACCTACTCTTGGCTTCGTTCAAGGTCAATTTTTGCCGATGCACCTGCAAAAACGTTTCGGGGCCTATTAATTCACCTTGACTTAGTAGGTTAGGGGAAAAGGTGCGGGCGATGCAAACGTCCTCGGCCCTTTTGACTCGGCTCAAGCACATGTATGCGCTAAGCTGCGAGTCCCGGGACGCCGAGGAATCCCAGAACCCCAGGTCTAAGCTGCAAGCGGCCAACGTGGCTCCCATAAACGAATGGGCTGTCCCTGCGTAATCGCACGCTATAGGGAATCCCTTGCGTGCAACCGTGGCTTGTCCGTGCGCTTCCAGCTGCCAGTGTTGCACTCCCGGTCGGATGCAGGCGACGCCCGCTGGCAGGCCTGGGCGGTGCTGCCATGTGGCGCCTGGGATGGCCACGAAAATGCACGTGGGCAGGTGGCGCAGAACCCAGTCGGAGTCGGAGCAAGTCTGGATTGCTGCCACGTCCTCGGGGTGCAATGTCCAGTTGTAAAGCTGCCCACGTGTATTTTTGAAAAGGCCAAAAGGCTTGAGTTCCGGCAATGTTTGGGTGATCCGCACCGGCATGTTCGGCAACAAGGGCAAGAGTCCCATTATGCCTCCTGTCGATTGATCGTGCCTCTGCAGCCAGTTTTCTTTCCGACGCCGAAGTTCGTGCGCGTCGGTGTCTGGGTCGGTGTGGAACAAGGGCGTGTCCTGCGCCACCGCCCAGAGCAAAAGCTGGTTCTGTTCGGCTGCCACCCACCGAGCCCGAAGCAAGGCTGCCACGTATTTGGCTGCATTTAAACCATGGATGAAAGGGGCATGTAAAAATTTGGGGTCTTTAGGGTTAGGTCCGAAATCGCTTGACTCGGCGACGACGCAACGCCGCCGCCGCTCGGCTGAGCAGACGTTGCACTCGTCACCGAGGCGAGCCGCCCAAGTACGGGCGTCGCTTCCGTGCAAAACCTCCTGTGTCCAAATTTTGGGTAAACCCTCGCATGTTGGATTTTTGCATCCGCAGGTGTTGGTGGTGGGATCCCACGATCCGGGATGGAGTGTCGGATAGCCATGCAAGAAGGACCACAGTTCCTGGTTCAGAGTTCCGCGCCGCGCCTCCTTCAAGATGGCGCTCAACCATGGATCCGTGCAGCGGTGTTCTTTGGTCAATTCGAACAGGTGCTGCACGTTGTTTTGGTTGTGCGTCCACAAGATTTTTTGCAAGGCGGTGACGGACAGGCTTTGGCCGCTTCTGAAAGGATTTTGGAAAATGCTGGTGGCTTTTACGGCGGGGAACTGCCAACAATCCCCGGCGATCAAAACGTTGATGCCGGCAAAAGGTCGCACCGCGCCGGACTTTCGACATTTCCAAGAATTCTTTGGGCGCACTGCGTCCTGCAAGTGCTTTTCCAAGGCTGCCAACACTTCCAACGCCGCAGTGCTGCATTCGTCGATGATCAGCCATCGCAGCCGCTGGAATTTGACAAATCGCTGCATGCTTGTGTTGGGGTCAGGCTTGTTCTTGGCGCCCTTGACCCGCATGTCAGCGAACGAGTGGAGGGTGATTCCCTCAATCAAAGCGGCCTGAGTATTTTGCGGAGCTACGAAAGCAAAGTCTTGCGGATGGGACCACTGGCAAGTGCTCTCGAAAAATGCCCGAATCCACTTCAAGGTCTGTGACTTGCCTGCTCCTGGCACTCCATGCAAGATTGCGCGAAACGGCTCAGAACGCTGTGGCACGTCCTGCCGTTCTTCTTGGTGCTCCACAATGCAACGTTCCAGAATGGCTTGCAAACACTGGGTCTGTTCTTGGCTCGGTGTCGGTCCAGTCGTGCTTCTTTGGAGGGTATATGCAACCAGGAACGAGCTGTGTGGGCACTGAAGTGTGCGTAACTTACATCTACGTTCGGGGGTGGTTTATTAGAATTGGGCCTATTTTGGGTGGTTGGTACAGTCGGAGCTTGGCCGGGATCCGGGATGCCGACACACTTGTTCCGAACCTGGATGGGATTGAGGCCTGCATTGTCGGGTGTCCACTGTTGCACAATGTTCTGCACGGTTGGCTCGGACCGTTTGGAATATCGGAAACCGTGGCCGGCTGTCAGGCGTTGCACGGTGGTCAGATCCACCCAGCTGGTGTCTACGTCCACATGGGCAAGTTTGGTCGTGTCTAGGCTTGCTTCCGCTTCCTCCGGCGAGCACTCCGCAGCAGCTAAGAAATTTTGAATGGTGCGTCTTGCGTTGGCCGACACAATGTGGTGTTCGATGTAGTCTCGCCACGCCGCGGCGTGGCAGCGTCGACCTAGCTGCGTCTTCGCAGTGCACCGTTGTCGCGGCGTCTGTTGAATGTCAGAGATGGGGCAATCCAAAGCGGCCAGATGCGGAACGTGTGCAGTGGAATCTTCACTTGCTAAAGTCCACGGTCGCAGATACACACTCAGGATGCGAGCTTGCTCTGCTTTGGACATATCGGCTTTGGGCAGAGGCGCTGCAGTCGGGTACGGCACTAGTGGAGCTATGCGGCGACGCAGATAGTGGTCAGCAACAGCTTCTGTGGCCACGCGGTGAGGCAAGCGCACCACGTCTCGGCCGAGGTCTGGCAGCTTTTTTTTCCAGACAAAATCACGGCCAAACTGCCATCCATCCGTCGGCTCTTCCTCGCTGCGTGGGTTGTTGACCCACGTGCTCAAGTCTGTGGCGTCACCTCGCGGTGGCTGGAGACGCTGAACGTCCCACAGAGCCGTGAACTCCCACGGGCTCAAATAGTAGATGCGTGGATCTGTGCCTCGCCACCCGTACACATCACTGGCTTTCAGCGCAGCGTGTCTGTGCTTGAAGGGCTTCACTAGGGCGCGCACCTCCGTCGTGCGGTCATGTTGGGCCAACCAATCCGCGCCAACGAAAGGGATGACTGCAAAGGATCGAATGCATTCAGCGGACGTAACCTCTTCCCCATCCCAGAATCCTGCCAACATTGTCTCTTCTGTCAGAGGCCGCACCGAGCACCTGAACTCCAAGTCGCCACAAATCCTTTGGAGTACTCTGCGGTACTGTTGCGCCTCCGCCCCTTTGGTCGGGGCAACGTCTAAGAACGAGAGGTGCTTGGCGGCTTGCTGTAGCTCCTTTTTGCCGATGGGTTGCGGCTTCTGCAGGTATCCCGTGAAATACTGGGTGGCTTTCCTGGCTGCGTGCTGCATGAGGCGTTGCAGTCGCCGCAAAGTGCCGTGTCGGAGGCAGTTCCGATCGCAAGCTGGGTCGTGTGTTTCTGGGAGTAACGGCACCCGGAAGTTGACCCCTGTGTGGCTATTTCCGAGCAACATGAGCGAAAAGGCATGCATCGTACCCGACAACCATGGCGTGTCTCAAGGGTTCAACACACACCACAAGCCGTTCCGACGGCCGGCCGTACTTTGTCGGTAGTGGCGAGCGTTGCCGCGGCAGATCACTCGGGCGGTGTCACACAGAGCTTTGGGGAATCCATGCTTGCATGTGTTGGGTGCGTTTTTTTTGCGACACCCGGGTAATGGAACGGCACATTTGTGTTTCGGATCCCAAAGATGAACGTGATGCTGTTGGTGCGAGAGGCGGTCCTGAACGGCCGAAGCATACTTGGTTCGATACGTCGTCGCGTCTCTTGACACGGTTTCGGAATGGGACGACGGGGCTGTCCAAGGCGATGGCTCTGTGTCCGCCGCAACAAAAGCAGGCCAAAGGCAAAGCTTGTCATGCTGTTTCCCAACGAAATTCTGCTTCCACTCTGTCTCAAGGTCCGGCAGTCGTGCGACGTGCTGCTCCAAGTTCAAGTGGCTTTCATTGTGCAACCACTGCTGGTATTGAAATATTTCTCCTAGCGACACGGCCTTTGCTTGCAATTTGGTAGCAAGCACTTTCAGGGGGTGTTGCCAGATGCTTGCAACGTAGACATTGGCGTGAAAGTGGGGCGTACTATTTTGTTGGTACTCGATGGCCCCACAAAATCCCAGCACCAGACCCAGAACTCCGCCCACAGGATGCGACGGGTGTTCCAACATGTCGCGACAAGTGCATTGCGGGCACTTGAAACACATGCGTACCCCTAAGAGCTCTGCGAACACAAAGCGAATCATGCTTTGAAAGGCAATGTCCACGCACCATGGATCTCGAACGGTGCTGCAGCGTCGAGTCTCATAGTCCAGCACCGGGATCGTGACGGCGGTGTCCTCCCACACCTTGGGGTCATCTTTGGCGAAACATTGGCCGGCGCCGGGGTCATTGGCTCGATATCGAGACATTTTTAAACAGACTGCATTGTGGCGTGTCGTGGGTGACACTGTTATGAAAATCGGTTCTCCGAGTTGAACCCTGGCCCCAAACAAAAAACGGCCGATGCGGCGACGAACTTCTATGGTGCCCGGCAACAGCTGTTGCGCCTGCCGAATGTCACGTAGAAGCTGAATTTCAGGTTGGGTCAGGTTGGAGGCAAACCAAAGCTTACGAGCATCGAAATTGATGGGCTTGATGTGATTACCTGCTGTAAGATAGGTTCCCTTCTGCAGTTTGTGGTACAGTGCTTTGGCTGCTTGCACCCATTCGTGCAGCGGAGTGGTTTCCAACAAGTCCGCTTTGGGTTTGTGTTTTCGCCACAGGGGTGTGTGCCAGACCGAATGCCACTTGAAAGTTAAGCGTCGAAGGCCCGACACCAAATCCCAAGAATTGCGAATGGAACTTTCCACTCTCCGGGTCAGTGAGCGCAAGTGGGCGATTGGGCCGAGCATTGCGGCGTCGATGCTACGCCGCCACCGGTCTTTGTTCGGGTAATCTGGCCCACCAACTGGAGCCGGCAAACTGAAAGGAAAAGCCCAACTTAAGTATTTCGGCTGCCATTGATCCCAGAACTCGTTCCCGGTTTGGACTGTGACCTGCGGCGTGCCGACGGCCAGCCGAGTGACTTCCTGAGCGGTAAGGTCTGCAGTTTGATCGGTACTCCAGTCGGGCGATAACACTTGCGGTCGGACATTGCCTTGAAAGGCTTCACCATTGAAATCACCGAGTCCAGCCGGTTCTGGTGTGGCGTGTTTGGTCTGCGGCGGCGATGGATTATGGGGGGTTGGTGCTTTATCAACTTCCTCTAAGGTTACGACTGGAAACTCGTCTTTTCCATATTGCTGGTTTACTTTGGCACGAAACAATTCCTTGAGTTCGGCCGGTGTGCCGTCGTACCCCTGAAACATGGGATGGGCTAGGTCCACTAAATGATCTAACAAAGCTACGACTACCCAAGGTCTGACTTTGGCTCCGGCAACCCACTCCGAAATTTCACCGTGCAACATTCCCTTTACTGTCAGTTGGATCATGGATTTCAGAGCGGGCAATGCGTGTGGCAATCCGGCAAGCCGATGCTCGGGCGTCATGTCTGCGAACTTACCATAGATCTGTTCCCATGGAAGGCTCACGGCACTGACGTTGCCTCGGATGGCCAAGCGCTGGTCGGCTCGATGGAGTGTCTCCTCCATCACGTGGCCGCGATCGGCTTCCAAGTAAAAACTGATCATGGAAGTCCAAACTGGACACGCTGCGGCCGCTTCAACCCAGCGGACTTTGTGGGTGTAGAGCAAGTCCACTGGATACCCGTACCAGTTGTCGTTAGTGAGAGCTTGCGGAACGCCGGCATACATTTTTTGCCGCATTCGGGACCAGCAACCCCGGCACAAGGGGAGCTCGCAAGCGTTGCAAAGCTGGTAGGGGTCGGAGTCCTGGGCGACGCCCGGGCATTCGCCTGAGCTATGCTCTGGCTGACCCGCAGTCTGCGTTGGGTCACTGGGACACCTGGAACATCGACGATCTTCCGGGCAACACAAAACGCTAGCGCCTTGGAACAGGTGTTCGGGCAAGCGACGTTGCCACTCCGGGCCACTCAACCGCTCACGAATGGAGGCGTGCAATCCATATGTGGTTTTGTATTGCTTCAAATCCCAATTTTCTTGAAAACTCTTGGTGGTGATTACCGAGAAAATGTCTTCGATGGAAAGATATAGCCGATGTCACTCCGTGGTCCACTGGGCAACACTGCAGCACAGCAACTGCAAATCAAGGCTACGCAGTGGTCTTCTTGTCTAGCTTGACGCAGGCGTCGCAGAGTGCGGCGATCCACGCTCCAACCGACGGCCGGAACAGCTTGTTCTTCTACGTGTTGCAAAGCTGCAACGTAAGCACTGGGAATGTCCCCCGGACAATGCTCGAACGCTGTGGCATGGTGGTCTTGCAAATGTGCCCACAAACAGCTCTCCGAGTCCGCGCAACACTGGCCGCTACTACAATGCCACTTGACACCGTCCACGACCCAAGCGTTCAGTGGCAGCAGCGCATCCAGGCATGGCTGGTCTTCACTGCACCAGCCGCAGTTTTCGAAGGCACAGTGACACGCTGGATAGGCTATTCCCGACATACTGTCCACCCAATCCATCGTCTCAGCTGGCAAGGGCGGGGGCAACAAAGGTTTTGTCCGAAATTGTTTCCCCAAGTCTCGGATGGACATTGATTCTTTGTCTTCCCAGGTGCACCACTGGTGATGGAGTTCTTCGGTGAGGCTAGGGGCTGCACTGGAACCTTCACTTGATTGCTGGGAATCCCAAGACAAAACGCTGTCAGTGTCTGCGGCACCGACCTCAGAGCCACTGTGCGAAGGCGTGGCTGGCGTTGGCCAAGGGTCGACATGGCCGTGTGTCCCTACGGCCGTTGGGCTTGACGGCCCGACTGTCGTGTCCGGCACCGTCGTCTGGCCGCAGCCGCGTCGTCTTCTTGGCATCGGCAATGGATCACTGGAGACTGACATGCCTTCCGCCGGGGGGCGGTCCGTGTCGTCGTTCGGTTGGTTAAGAGGCGCCGATGGTGGATCTTTGGAGGACGAATGTCGGTGAGCCAGCTCCTGCCTGGTCTCCAAAGCACCGCCTGGAGCGACGCTCTGGCTTTGGCTCGAGCTATACTCTAGCGGGCGTGCCGCTACCGTGCTACTGGAAGAAGTTCGTCTTGCTGGCGATCTAGAGCGTGCGTGGCTCGCTGCCTCCTCGATGGGCGCTGCCGAACTTTGCTGTGGAATTAGTACGTCAAAATGATACCCTCGGCCGGATGGGGTTGTGTGATTATAGACATGGACATGAATGCGGTCATAAATTAATTTGGTGCCTACGGTGTAATCTACGAATGCCAGCTCGTCTTGGTTCTCTAGCACTTGCCCCGCATCGAGGCAGTCGTAGAAATGGACTCGCACTGACACATCCTTCCGCCACTCATGGCGGAGAAAAAAGTCGAGAATGTGGGGGGCATCTGCGTGCCCATCGAGATAAGTGCCGACCGGGGTGCCATACTGGCGACGCAGGTGCTCGCGGCATCTCACACACATGCGTTTTCTTTCCGCCTTGGAGTATCTTGCGGCATTCGGTGTCAGGTTTGCGGCAGTTAGAGCCAACAACAAGGAATCGATCAAGCAGTTGTTCATTCCATGTGACTCGGCGGTGTGCAGAACAAGCCCCTGTGTCTCTAGTTGCTGTAGTCGGTCATCGTCGGACCGCGGCTGCAGGGGCGCAGCGGCGCCAGCTATGTGGAGAAACCGCTCCGCACACTGCAGGGCGGCAGCGTCTGTGCCTTCTGCGGCCATTTCGTCCCAACCTTCCCAAGCTTCCACCCAGTCTTGCTCCATCATTTCGGCCACCCGTGCTTCATCGCCTAGGAGGGATACCAACACTCCAGCAAGCCAAGCTTTGTCGTCCGGACGAGGACCCCCCCCCCGGAAACGACGGTGTGAAGTGCGCAAGTACGGCCTCTCGCAGACAGGTCGAACCAGTGTCCAGCTTACAGGTGTTGCCGCTCTTCCGACAAGTAGATTTCGTGGTAACTGGCTGTTAATTTCCAGCAACCAGCTG